AGGTCAGTAGCAATTTACCTCCAAGTATGACTATTCTTGGCCTGAGGCTAGTCAGAAATTACATAAACAGGTCTTTCCTTCTGAGTTATTATAAAGAAGATAGCAGGCAAAAACAAACACTCAAGTCTTATTTCTGTCTCTCCTCATCTTATTTTTGTTTTGTTCTTTTTGAAGCAGGGTCTTGCTATGTAGTCCAAGCTAGATTCAAGCTCACTGTCCCCTGCTAGAGTGTTAGGATTACAGGCATGCATTACCACACCCCACTCTTGGTTTGGTGAAAACTGGTTGTATATATTGTTTTAGGAGCTGGGTAGGGTGAGGGTAGTAGCAACTAGAGGACAATTCTAAAACACTGTGAGTCTGTATTAGCAATTGGTATATTTTTTAAGCATACAGGTGTTATATATAAGCATTATTATTTGGATGTGTGTGTGTGTGTGTGTGTGCGTGTGCACACATGCACAAGTGTTTGCCAGTTCTGAGGTTTGAACTCTGAGCCTAAGCCCTATCCCTTAGCATTTTCATTCAAGGCTGATGCCCTACCATTTGAGCTGTAGCTCCACTTCTGGCTTTCTGGTGGTTAACTGCAGGTAAAAATCTCAGGGACTTTTCTTCTCAGGCTGGCATCAAACTAGGGTCCTTAGATCTCAGCTTCCTGAGTAGTTAGTATTACAGGCATAAGCCACCAGTTCCTGGCTATCTATAAGCATTATTATAATGAAAACAAAATCAGCACCAGTAAAAAAAACATTTTCCTGCTTTCTTTGCTGCATTGTGTTGATGCTCAATTACCAACAGCTTAGCTTAGGACAGTCTCCCAGATCCCCTGGTGATGATTTTAAATCACTCTAGAGCATGAATCCTATAGGAAACAGAAACCACACGCCTTTACCACTGTCAATGGTAAGATTAAGGACAAGATACTAAACAACACTGAATGTGCCTAGAAAAGAAGACAGAACACAGAACCCAGATGGGGCAGCTTTACTTCTCACTGAGATGAAGAGAATTCCAGCTCCAGGTGGCAAGTGGCAAGAGGTGTTCTTCAGGCCAAGCCAGTGAGGTCAGCTCGGATTACTGCTGGGCAGTTGAGATCACTGATTTCATGGCTGGTGGCCAGGATTACATAACAGACACGGTGCCCTAAGGGGTATAGATGACGGTAAGGGGCTCTGTGCCTCGCAGCCCTCGCGTATCTAGGGCCAGTCCCATATTCCCCTCCAGGCTGTATGGACAACCAACTCTGGCAGGCCCACGATGGAGGAGGGGTCTCAGAGGCCCCACAGAGTGGAGAGAAGAGTCTGCTCAACTAAGCCACTGCCAAGCGCCATTTCTTAACGGAAGGCTTTCGACTTGGGCAAGCAAGAGGCCACGAGGTGGCAGCAGAAGACACAGCCTGGAACACAAAACCTGAGCCATCTTGCAAAAACCGGGTCCAAACGGTAGAGGATTCATTAGGGAAGTATTGTCAGTTGTCTATATTCGCATATTCAGAGCCAGAAAAAAAAATGACTGCATTTCAAAGAAAATGCGTCAACATGGGGACTTTCCTTCCTTTCTTTCTTCCTTTCTTTCTCTCTCTCTTTCTTTCTTTCTCTCTTTCTTTCTTTTTTGGTTGGTTGTGGGGCTTGAACTCTGGCCTAGGGCCCTGTCCCTGCGCTCTTCAGCTCAAGGGGAGCACTCTACTGCTTGAAATACAGCGCCACTTCCGGTTTTTGAGTGATTTATTGGAGATAAGAGTCTCACAGACTTTCCTGCTTGGGCTGGCTTTGAACCACGATCCTCAGATCTCAGCCTCCTGAGTAGCTAGGATTACAGGTGTGAGCCACTGGCGCTTGGCAACATGGGGACTTTTCTAAGCCATTACAGAATTCAGTTGTATAGGAAGTCTACATAAACATGAGCTGGATAGTTATCTCTGTGTGTGTGTGTGTGTGTGTGTGTGTGTGTGTGTGTGCGTGCGTGCGTGTGCGCGCATGTGCACACTCCAAAAATTTTTATCTGTGCTGTTATTAGGGTTTGAACTCAGGGCCTGGGTGCTGTCCCATAGCTTTTTCCACTCAGGACTAGTGTTCCATCTCTTGAGTTGTAGCTCTGCCTCTGGATTTTTGCTAGTTAGTTGGAGATAAGTCTTAGGGACTTTCCTGTCTGGGTTGGCTTTGAATCACAATCCTCAGATCTCAACCTCCTGAGTAGCTAGGATTACAGGCCTGAGCCATGGATACCTGGCTTCTACAATGCTTAAAAGCAAGAGATAGGGGTCATGACCTTGAAAACTGGTGCCAGCAAGAGCCTTGTCACAGTGCTTTCTTTTTGTGAAGTTCTAATTCAACTAAAGTGACCTCCATAGAGAATATAACACTGATAAGGCAGGCACTGGTTACTGGACAGTGCTGTATCAATTGTAGGCTGTCCAGAGGGTCCAAAGCTGCAATCATGTGTGGACAGGAAGAATGGAGAATGCCTATGACTGACAGCTATGCCCAGGAAAGGGACATTAGTAGCCTGGGAACTAAGGCCCAAAGCTTGTGAGTTCTCATTTAATGCTCCTGCCATTACATATTTCCTTCTCCTCCTCCTCTCCCCAGTTGTGGCCACAAAAGTGTCCTCAAGACACTGAATAATATTTTCTAGGGCAAAAATGGCTCTACTCTGAAAACCTATGTTCTAGAAATATAGTAAGGTGTTCAATACATGTTACTATACATGTAAGACTCATATTTCGCTGTCTACACAAGCCATATTGTACATCTGAAACCTGAATTCCTAACATGTTGCTATAAAAACTGACAACTGAAAGACTATACACTAAATCTGGCCACTGAATTTTTTTTAAAGTTATGTTTTATTTTACTTTATTTTTCATGCCAGTACTGGGCTTGAATTCAGGGCCACTGGGCTCTTGCTGGCTTTTTGGCTCAAGGCTGGCACTCTACTATTGAGCTACAGTGCCACTTCTGGCTTTAGCTGCTAAACTGAATATGAGTCTCTAGGACTTTTTTGCCCAGGCTGGTTTAAACCTCTATCTTCAGAGTGGCTAGGATTACAGGTGTAAGACACCAGTGCGCAGTTAGTTATCAATAACTAACAGAGGGTAAATCAGAAAATTTCACATCTATAGAGTTCCCGAGTTCTACAGGAAAATAGAAGCTATGGCACTGACAGGCCCAGAATCCTATAAGGCAATAATTGGAGCTTAGCGGCAATAAACATTCATTAAATAGAACATGCATTCTCTAGCTGCCACAGTGCCCATCACCCCTATTACCTCACACTCAATCTGTTTTACCCATTCAAATTATTCCTTTATAAGCAATTACCTTGAACTTAAGTGCCTTCTAAAACTTTCCCTATGTGCTTTATGTTAGTCTTATACTCCAGCAAGAAAAAGGATAAATAGGATTATAATCTTCATGTAAACAAATGTAGTTCAAAGAGATCTGACTTATCCAAGCAATAGAACTGGAATCTAAAGTTTTTTTTTTTTTGGTCCGGTCGTGGGGCCTGAACTCTGGGCCTGGGCACTGTCCCTCAGCTCTTCAGCTCAAGGCTAGCGCTCTACCTCTTGAGCCACAGCACCACTTCCGGCTTTTTTCTTTTTGCTTATGTGGTGCTGAGGAATCGAACCCAGGGCCTCTGGCATGCAAGGCAAGCACTCTACCACTTAGCCACCTTCCCAGCCCCTGGAATCTAAAGTTCTTGACACAAAGTTCTAATATTTTTCTTAGAACTTTTCTGAGGGTTGGGGCTTGAACTCAGGGCCTGGGCACGGTCCCTAAGCCTCTCTGTGCTCAAGTCTAGAGCTCTACCACTTGAACCACAGTGCTGCTTCTGGCTTTTTCTGCTTATGTGATACTGAAGAATAGAACCTAGCGCTTTATGCATGCTAGGCAAGTATTCTACCACTAAACCACATCCCAGCCCCTCTCTGAGGGGGTTTATAGAGTCCAATCAAAGAAGTAAGAACCAGGATAACTGGGAAGCATGATAACAAATTTTTGAACAATTGAAAAATGACCACAAAAGACTACTTTTTCATTAGTTTCTTCTTTCTTTCTCCTTTTACAGGTGACTTGCTTCAGCCAATGAACTATGATGGAAAGTGGCATGTGTCCCACTGGGACAGAGCAAGAACAATTCTTCATGCTTACTTCACATTCTAAGCAAGATAATCCAAGAACCCACAGTGAAGCTAGGCACTGGTGGCTCTAATCTGTAAAGGCATATCTCCAATTAGCCAGCAAAAAGCCAGAAGTGGAGCAGTGGTTTAAGTGGTAAAGTGCAAGCCTTGAACAAGAAAGCTAAGGAGTGTCCAGGTCCTGAGTTCAAGATTCAGTACTGGTATGCTGTGTGCGTGCAAACCACCTCACAGTGAACTAAGACTCATCATCTTTGAGACCTGGATAATTTACAATGAGCACAGCTCATTGAGAAATAAATCTTGGTAGTTTGAAACCACTAAGGTTTAAGCATTATTACCACAGTAGCCTGATCTGACAAAAGATTATTATTACTATTATTTTTTGCCAGTCCTGGGGCTTGAACTCAGGGTCTGGGCACTAGCCCCAAGCTTCTTTTTGCTCAAGGCTAGCACTCTACCACTTGAGCCACAGTGCCAATTCCAGCTTTTCCTGTTTATGTGGTGCTGATGAATGGAACCCAGGGCTTCATGCATGATAGGCAAGGACTCTACCACTAAGCTACAATTCCAGCCCCCCAAAGGTTATTTGCATAGTCACTGAGGCGCTGAGAATTAAAATGCAGTTACTACACTTCTGATCCTGTTATTGAAAGCTGGTAGACTGAGAACATTGTGATTCCCCCGCCCCTAGCTCATCCACCACCACGTGCTTTGAAGAACATTATTCTTTTCTCAGAGCCCTTCACGCATGAACCCTCCATTATTCAGGCAGTTGTGTGTGTGGGGGGGAGAGGGGGGAGGTGGAAGAAAAAAGAGGAAGGCCCAGATCTTGTTTTCACCATTCCAGAGCCTGATCCCAGAACTGTCCCCACCCACTAGTACTCACACGTAACTTTGTCATAGGGCGCCTATTACCACTCCCAAGGTGTCACAGGCAGAAAGGAGCAGCAGCTGGCGCCACTGCAATGTCAGGGCAAGGCAGCCAGGCTGCGCTCTCCCCTCACTGGTACCTGGGCTTGGCTGAGCCCCGAGCAGCCGCCTTCTCTAGGGAAAGAAGCCTTCTCAAGTGGGAACAAAAATGAGTGTGAGGCGAGCACCCATCCTGGGCACTATTGAATTTGGGGTGAGTTTTCTTAGTACTCCAGCTCTGGTCGGTTTCTAGTTTCTGGCGGCTAACAAGCTGCCCGCTGGCGCTATTGGGGCTCCTAATTTTTCTGGGCTTTTCCCAAGCCCACACAAGAGCTTCATCTTGGTACACTTGCAGAGATCGTAAATGGTGGGGGTTGAGCCGCCAGAGCTTCAGCAACCTGACCGCGGCCGGGGATCAAAGGCCCGCGGGACGGCCAAAAGGCTGAGCCTGCGTAGCCCCGCTCCCGCCTAGGAAAGGGTGGCGGCCACGCGGGCTCCTTCTACCGGCGTGCTCGCAATAGGCGGGAAAATCTTAGGTCGGGTCGCGGCTCCCCTCCTGCCCGCCGGGTCCGCCCGCCCGTTCAGCAAGCCTTAGCACGCCCGAGGCGCCCAGGCCGCGGGGGAGGGGGACGAGAAGGGCCCCACGCTTCTGACTCATCATCTCCAGCCCCTTTCTCGCGCGCGCTCCAAGTCTCAGGACTTTGGACCTGGGCACCCGTGCGAAGGGGCGCTGCGACAGCCTCTGGGACAGCTAAGCTCTGCCAAGTGCCAACCGCCGATCCTCGCTGGGCTCCGCAGCTGCCTAGCTGGAGGGCTTTGCACCCACAGACAGCTCACAGTTGCGTGGCTGATGTGGTCTTGCCCCCGACCAGGACAGCCCGCCCAGGTCCACCCCGCACACTGGGCCAGTGGTCGCGTCCGAGGAATCTCTCGGCTAGGCCCAGACTTCCAGCGCCAAGCGTCACTCAGCAGATGCACAGCGCCCCCACGGTGGAGGGAAGGCTCTTTATTTCCCGGCAGGTCGCGGGGGGGGGGGGGGGGTCGCGGGGGATTCTGGGACTTGTAGTCTCCGCTAGCGTAGGCAGGCCCCGGATCCAATGGAGAACTGGAGCACCCCTGACTTAGATTCAGGGTTGATGTGCGCTGGAACGGGCATGGAGTGTATAGGGTTGTGAAAGGTGGACCGAAAAGAACAGTGAGATGAGGCAGATGTGAAGATGAATGAGGCAATAGGAAAGGAGGGGGAGGTGGATGGGAGGAAGCAGTTTTACAGGGGTGAAATGAGTAGGACTCCCTTCCTCTAGAGGGGAAGGCAGAAGAAAGGGCTTGCTTTGAGTGAAAACTGAAAGCACTCTTCTGGACTTCATGCATGACTCAAAGCTAGCTGCTCTTTGAGTTTGGTAAGTGAGATGCTGGAGAGTCTGAAGAATGCCCTTTTAGGACAGTAGCACCTGTCTGCTTCCCTTTGCTTCATCACTCATTGGTTCCATTTCCTGTGCTGGCCACTCTGGGACCATTCTCCAAACCAGCAATCCCCTCCATTTCAGAGGGGCCCTGAAAATCAGACATATGAGCAAATTGTAGACGTGAAAAGGAAAATCTAGATAAAAGCACCTTCCTCCTTCCCCATTTTTCTTGCAACCCTTTCAATACACATTTAAGGCAGCATTCTAATGTTCACTCATTCTTCTAGCCCCAGTCAGGTTAGATACCCAATTCTCCTGTTAGGGGAGAATTCTCCACCAGTAGAGGATGAGTAGCTAAAGCCAGAAAGCCAATCAGATTTAATATAAGACCCCTTCATTTCCCTCCTGTTCCATTGTTTTAAGTGACAGTGACCATGATTAGCATGCTAGCTGAGCTGCTCCATGCTCTCCTCCTAACAACCAGTACCTCCTGCAATTCCTGGTAGTGCAGACTCTGGCTCCTGAAGCATCCTGGCTTCCTCTGGCTCAACAAGAATAAGGCATATGCTGAGAACAGTACTCCCCCTAGGGTGAAGGCCTCAGCACTGAGCTCCAGTACCAGCAAGCCTGCCAGCTGCAGATAAACAGGATTGAAGATACTGTGGGGATCCAACAAGTGTTTTCCCATGCCCTTTCTCCTCTCCAGTGCCTGGTTCCTCCTCCCACCTTCTCTTTTATTTACCAGTACCTGGGAGGGGGCAGTAGGGGCAGGCCCCAAGGCTGTCTTCATCACCTCCACCACTACCACGATGAAGCCCAAGATCAAGTTGAAGATGTTGAATATCATCATGGCCCGCACCTGCCAGTAAGCCAGTTGAGCCCTGCCCAGACTAGAGGAACTATTCTAACCCAAAGTCCCACCTACAGCCTAGCTAAAAACAAAATTTGGGACTGCGAGGGTGGCTCAGTGGAAGAGTGCTTGCCTTGCATGCATAAGGCCCTGGGTTCGATTCCTCAGTACCACATAAGCAGAAAAAGCCAAAGTGATGCTATGGCTCAAGTGGTAGAGTGCTAGCCTTGAGCTGAGGGACAACGCCCAGGCCCAGAGTTCAGCCCCACAACCGACAGGGGGAAAAAAAAATTGGCTACTGCTTCTCCTCCTCCACATAGGGTTATCAGTCCTCTAACTTTCTTGCTCATAGTCTTTTAGATCAGTCAGGGACAGACAGCTGAGAGCTTAAGCCAACACTTAAGAGTCACTTCCTGGGCTCTGTGTGTGTTTATGTGTTTGTGTGTGTGTGTGTGTGTATTAGGGGGTATGCGGACGGACTGGTGTTTTAGTCTTACCTTCCAAAGGCAGGGTGCTCTGCGAAGCTCAAGAGTGACAGTCCCAGTGAGAAGACCCTAAATGGTGAGCAGGGCAAGTATTGAACTCTGGTCCCATACGGAGGGCTCCTGAGGACCTCCCTCCCTCCCTTGTGGATCTTACCAAGACTCCAGGCCCCAGTGGCAGTGCAGTGGCCATGTAACAAGCAGAATTCAAGCAGGCAACTGAGATAGCAAAGGGCACCATAGCAATTGCCAGCCATAGCTGGCTTACCTGGATGAAGGTCGGGGCAGGATAGTTTAGGAGTACCCTTCAAAGATTCTCTTTTCCTCCTCCCAACCTTTGCTTCTTCCAGAGATCAGTATGTGGGATGAATTTGAGATAGAAAGAAAGTAGCCAACTAGGGTTAAATACCATTTCAGCCAGAGTTGAGGCCAAGGACTACACACTTATTTAGCCTAACCTTTCCTTACTTCCTTCCCTCCCTCCTTCTTTCCCTCCCTCTCTTCCTTCCTTCTTGTGCTAGTACTGGGGCTTGAACTCAGGGCCTGGGCACACTATCCTTTCATTTTTTTCACTCAAGGCTCATATTCTACCACTTGAGCCACAGCTCCACTTTTAGTTTTTTGCTAGTTAACTGGAGGTAAGAATCTCTTGGTCTTTTCTCCCCTTGGCTGCCTTTCAACCATGGTCTGCAGATCAGAGCCTCCTGAATAACTAGGATTACAAGCATGCATGAGCCACCAGCACCTGGCTCCATTTAATTTTTTTCTGCTTCAGGTTGTAGTTTAGTTACGTACCTGTATTCCTAATAGTCAGTGCTCCTGAGAGATTAAGTGTCTTGCCTTGTTTTTTTCTAAATTTCTCCCACCCTCCTCCCACTCAGAGCCTAGCAATTTCTGGCTAGGCACAATTTCTCAGTAGGTGCTCATTCAGCTTGAATGAAGTTGAATTAGGTACAAACAGACATTCTAAGACTGGCCTGGGGCAGCCTGGCCTCACCGCCAGCACCAAGAGGTGTCCACTTTGTCTGTGTCTTGCCCAGTGCTGTAGCTTTTCCAGACGAAGGCTGGGTCTCTCCTGATCTCCATGATTAGCTCTGTGTTCCATAGTTCTCTTCACTACAAGATGTGGGTACTTCCTGGGTTAGAAAAATTCATTACGGGACCTGTCTTCCAGGAAATAGGACCTGCAACAACATCTCTTTCAGTTATCCCTCTGTACCCTCCCAATCCAGTGTGGAGGCCCAGAACCAATATACTTACCTAGTCTGAAGCAGCTGCTTTAAAGGGATGGGACCTAGCTGTGTCGTGAAATGTCTTAGGGGCTTGGGGGCTCAGAGCAGATGTCCATAACTTGTCCTGGCACAGAAAGGCTGTCAGGACTGGAGTGTGGCAGGGCAAAGGTCCCTATGAATGCCTAAGGATCAGGGAGTGGCCCTGTGTGGTGGCCTGGCCTCAGTTCACACCATGAGACACAGAGCCCTGCCTCATTCTGTTACCATTTCCTGTTGCTGTTTCTCCCCAATATCTTCTACTCACCTCATCCTTTTCACCCTGGATCTCAATCTCCCCTATTTTCATCTAAAAATTCTCCTTTCCTTTTGGCTTTTCAAATTACTTGACTCTTTCCTAGTGAGATCCTATATAACTGCCTAGATTGGCTCTTACCACTTCCAGCTCTGTGCCCAGGACTAAATCTTAATTCCTGTCTCTCATTTTCTGGAAAGTTTCTTCTCTCTCCTCCTTTTCTTGAAAGATTTACTCTGAGCAGGACACTAAGTAAATGGGGAGACCTCTTTATAGTGGAAATTGCTTTTTTTTTTTGGTCCGGTTGTGGGGCCTGAACTCTGGGCCTGGGCGCTGTCCCTCAGCTCTTCAGCTCAAGGCTAGCGCTCTACCACGTGAGCCACAGCACCACTCTGGCTTTTTTCTTTTTGCTTATGTGGTGCTAAGGAATCGAACCCAGGGCCTCAGGCATGCAAGGCAAGCGCTCTACCACTGAGCCACCTTCCCAGCCCCTGGAAATTGCTTTTGACTCAGTGATAACCTGAGCCCAGAAATGGTTCGTCTGTCCTTCCTTCCTTCCTTTGCTCCTTCCTTCCCTCCTTCCTTCCTGTTTCTTTCTCTCTTCCTTCCTTTCCCTTTTTCCTTCCTCCCTCCTTTTCTTCCTTCCTTCCTTCTTTCCTATCTCGCTGTCTCTGTGTGTATGTGGATACTATGGTTTGAACTCAGAGTCTGGCTACTCTCCCACTAGATATTCTACCACTTCGGCCACATTTCCACTTTGGGCTTTTTTTTTGTTGTTGTTTCCTCTGATTAATTGGAGCTTAGAGTCTACCCAGGCTGGCTTAGAATTATGATCCTCAGATCTCAGCCTCCTGCGTAGACAGGATTATAGGCATGAACCACCAGTGCCTGGCACTATTTTGACATTCTTTTTTTTTTGGGTCTGGTCATGGGGCCTGAACTCTGGGCCTGGGTGCTGTCCCTCAGCTTTTCAGCTCAAGGCTAGCTCTCTACCACTTGAGCCACAGCGTCACTTCTGGCTTTTTTCTTTTTTCTTATGTGGTGCTGAGGAATCAAACCCAGGGCCTCAGGCATGCAAGGCAAGCGCTCTACCACTGAGCCACCTTCCCAGCCCCACATTTTGACATTCTTTTACCTACTTGAACCTTAATTTGATAATAAAAGGTAGCCATCCATCCATATGCCTAAGAACGATCCTGGCTTGTACTTAATAACTATTAAACTGATGAAGTGCTGAAGAAGCCATACTGATGTGCCCCATGCCCATGCCATAAATGGTTTGTTCAGAGGCTAAGATGGGGACATTTTTTTTTTTTTCTCATTAAGTAGCAGATCCAGTTGGGCCCGAGGGTGTACTCTAGAGATCAAATGTTGGTATACAGACTGAAGTCTGGAGGCAGAAGACCAGCTCTATGTTGAAGTCCCAGATCTATCTAGCTAACCCTGGGCAAACTGGTTAATCTGTTTCCTTATCTGCAATGAGAAGTTAATAGTACCAATCTTTAGGGGTTGTCTTGAGCGTTAAGAGAAAAAAATGCATAAAAACTAGCTTAGTCAGTAAATGTTAGTAGCTATTGTTATTACCGTTGATGATAGAAGCAACTCAATCATAGATCCCTGGGAATCAGTCCCAGGAGATAGGGGCGTGGGAAGCAAGTGGCCTTCCTTAGAAGCCACTTTTACCCTAGCCCATACTAGGTCAACATTACTGTATCTTTGTATCCACTCTTCTTTCTTGGAGAGTGGGAGCCACATTTTAAAGGGATCCAGAGAACTGTTTTGTCTGTACCTCCTTTTCCAATCCCCACATGAATTTAATGACACGAGGATCCCTTAATTTGAAGGGCAGTAGAGAGACTACCCTCGTTTTTCTTATCAGTAAACGGGAACTCATGATATAAGAGGGTTACCGTAAGGACTAGACATTAAATATGTGAACGAGCCTTCAAGTCCGAGTATATCACTTGTAAGTTTGTAGTAACCGTCCAGCCGACAATCTCCCCCTGGGAAGGCACAGTCCCATCCCATCTGCCCATGCACTCATCTCCCCTCACCCCAGCGCTGAGTACAGTGCCTGGCACTCGGTAAGCACTCGGTAAATATTTGTTGTACTGAAGAGCCATTAAAGTATCCTAAAGAATGGAAAACAGAATTCCGAGAGCGAGGAACGAGAATTGTTTATCGAGAACAGAAAGGATCGAAGACTAACTTTAATCACGTTTCTTACACGGCAGACATTAACTAGCATTGTAATCGCCCCTCCTCCTCCCCCCCAAAAGACAGAAATTGTGAAGGAGAGGCTTTGAGATAAAACCCCAGGAAGAACTTCCCCAGCCCGAGCGTGTCGGGGCAGAGCCGGCGGCAGCGCCAGCCCCTTCCCTGGTATGTCCGGGTCCAGGGAGGAGGGGCGGTTCTGCTCGCGGCTGGGGAAGGACGAGATGACCTTTCAGAATCTCTCCCCGTCCCCCGTACGACCCGTCGGCGCGCCCCACCCCCGCCCCCCTCCTCCCGCCTTCCGACAGCGCCCCCCGTCTCCGCTCGGCCCGCACCCCGCCCCTGGCGGCAGCCTCTGCCGGCTCCCGGGGTCCCTAGCCCGCGTCCCCAGAGCTGAGCGCGGCTCCCTGCCCCGCCGCGCCGCCCCCCGCATGCTAATGGCCGGGCCGCCTCCCGCCGCACACAATGCGGGCCAGGGCCGGGGGCGGGGGGACCGGGGAGGGGGCGGGGGCCGGGCCGGGGGCGGGGGGGCCGGGGCCCGGCGCATCTCCCCCGGCCCCACGTAACGCTGACGCCCGCGCCGCCGGCCCGCCGCCCGCCGCCGCCGCCGCCGCCCGCTCCGCCGCCGCCCGCCCGGGGCTCGTGAGTAGCCGCTCCCCCCACTCCCGGCCACCCCCCCCCGTCCGCCACCCGCCCCTGGCCCCCTCCCCCCTTCCCGGAGGGGGGGCCTCCCCGCGGGCCCGGCTGGGAGCAGGTGCAGGGGGCGGGGGCGGGGGAGGGGCGCCGGCTCGGCCCCGAGCAAACTTCGCCCAGAGCTCCTGGGGGGCGGGCTGGGGGTGGCGGCCTTAGAAACCTGGAGAGCTAGGGGGGCCCCGAGGGAGGGGGGGCAAGTGGGGGGTCGGGGGGGCGGACTCCGCCGGGGAAAGGCCAGCGGGGTGGGGGCTGATGGCGGGGTGGCGAGTGTCTTTGTAGGGGCCCCGAGGCTGGGCGCGAGGGGCCCTGGCGGGGAGGGTGGTTTCAGGGCTGATAGCCGCCAGCCTGAGTGGATGAGCGCTCCCCCAGGCCCAGGTAGGGCCGGTGGGAAAGAGGGGGGAAGGAACCCAAACTCTCCGGGAGTGGGGGTGGGGGAGGGGGGAGGATGGGGGTGCTTCCCTCTCTGCGTCCCAAACAAAGTGTCACAAAGAGCTCGGCCCGCGGCGGCAGCGGAGGCGGCTGCAACTCAGCTTTTGTTCTCCCTACCGGGGTAGCTGAGCTCTGGCCTCCCTATCTCTCAACCCTGCCCCCCGTCATCGTTCTGGCTTATCTTCCCTGGCTGGGGCCTAGGGTGGCCCTGGAAGAACCTCTTGTGTAGAATCACGGGTCCTACCCTAGTTGCCAGCCTATTTCGGGGGGGGGGGAATCTTCCCAGAGGTTCCCTCCGCCCCCCCCCCCCCCCCCCCCCCGTTTCCCAGTTTGCAGACTCAACCTCTTGCCAGGTATTCAGACTCACTTTTTAAGAGTCTGCTCCAGGAACTTGTGTCCCCCTTTCACAAATCTAGGTCCCACAGAAGTTTCCGAATTGAGGTCAAGTTAGGACATGTCTCTGGGATAAGATTCAGTATGGCGGGGTAACAGCAGGTGTTCCTTCCTCTCACCTCCTGCTATACATTTAGCAGTCCATGACTGAGATCCATGCCCCCAGTTCAGGACAGTGAGGACTGGAAAGGGAAGCTTTACCCAAGAACTCAGCCTAAGAAGGTCTGTGGCACAGGCAGAGTTATCTGAGCCAAAGAGGTTTGGAGGGCTTTGGAGAGGAGACCATAAAAGTGAACTGTTGGCATGTCTGTCTGGTCAAGGTGGTCTTGACTCTAGACCACCTACGAATATTGCCATGGTTATTGTAATTGTTAACAGACTTGGGAGGTAGAGGATTCTTAACAGGAAAAAATATCTAGTGTTAGAGATCTGCTTAACAACTACACCCCCAGAGATCCAGAACCCTTCATCCTTACACTTTGACCCTAAAAACTTTCACACTACAAGCTGAGGGATAATCCTTTTAGCCCTCCATTTAGCAGATGGGTCTGGATACCTGCCTTTGTAGTAAGTTTTTTGTTTTGTTTTGTTTAAAATTTACCAACCATTCATGCATCTTTACTTATTAGTAAGATTTGGTGGTCCACACCCCCTTCCCCATTAGCTGCCCACTATGTAAGAGTAATTGGCCTGTTGCTTTGCAAACATTTCCCATCTCTATCCCTGGCCCTTCATCCCTATAGAATCCAAATAAGGGCAAGATAACTCCAGATTCCCAGTGGGAGTGGAAAGTAGGTCATTGCCATTAGGTCAAACATTATGATATTTAAGGCCTGTACAGAAAACTGTGATTGTTGTCCACATATAAGTTAGATTTCAAGTCAGTTCATAGAGTACTAGTCTTTTCAGTGCCTTTCCCTATTGAGACCAACTCAGGAGATCAGGTACCTGAGACTCTGATATCAAGGTGATAGAAGCCATCTTGATAGGGCCTAGGTTGTCTCTCAGTGATTTTTACCAATTTTAGGCTACCTGCTAGTAAAACTTTCCCTGCTGGGGAACTCAGCTTCAGTTTGGGCCTTCTTATATCACTGTATTTCCATTCAGGAAACTGTGTGTGCAATGTAGAGTTTGTTGTTGTTTTGGAGAAAGGAAGCGTTACCCTGTTACTGTTATTTTTGCCTGGGGTATGAGGCCAGCTTTCCCATGTGATGTTTTGTTTGCTATCCTACAGACAGCTTTAGAACCTAGGATCTTCTCAGAGTCAGAATATATGCCCATAGGTTAGTCAGCTATGACCATGCAGTGTTCCCAGCAACCAACCCCCCCTTTCCTGGCCATCTGCTTCCTCTGAATATACCAGATTGGCTGTACACCAGGATGTTCCGGGAATCCCCAGGAGAGCAACAGAATGTGATGGACCCAAATACGATGCCTCAGTACCTCAGTCCAGAATGTACAAACTGTTAACTGTCAGGCCAATCCTTCAGCTAATTAAAAATTTTCAAGTTACATCTATTTTTTATTACCTCTATCTATTTTTAGTGATAACCAAAAGGCCAAAATAATCTCTTGCTACCACTGTCCCCTACAGTTTCCAGATAGGAAACCAGCCCTGGGGCTTGAACTTAGGGTCTGGGCACTGTCCCTGAGCTTCTTTTGCTCAAACTCTACCACTTGAGCCACAGCACCATTTCTGGCTTTTTTCTGTGTATGTTGTACTAAGCAATCAAACCCATGGCTTCATGTATGCTACTAGGCAAGCACTCTACCACTAAGCCACATTCCAGCCTAGTAATACATTTTTAAAAACCTCTACAACCTTCCATAGTTTTTCTGTTTTTTTTTTTTAAAAACCTCTACAACCTTCCATAGTTTTTCTGTTTTTTTTTTTTTTTCCCCTGCCAAATTGGCAAACATGGCATGGCTCCTCTAGCACTTCCCGGCTCTATCTGTGGCACCGAGGTAGCCAGAGTAACAATTCTGGTAGCCCACTGCACTCTCCATGGTACTGAAGGAATGACCATCTGTCTTAAGATCTCTGGGTTCCAGAAGAGTCTTGTGACTTGGAACCACAAACGTTTACTGCTGGAAGGGACTGTCAATGTAAATTGGCCCAGCCTCTTATTTTATAGAATAATTTACTGAAGGTTGTATGGCTACTAATGGTCTTATAATAACCATGTACCCCTTAGTTCTAGGCTAATTCAACATTCATGAAATTATTCATAGGACCCAGCTATGCTATTGGTCCAAGGAAGTGCATTTATTTAGAGGACCCAAGGACTAGAGTGAGTTCCCAAATTTGAAGCTCCTGAACACATATTGGGTGGTGAAGGTGCTTGTCTAGTGATCCTTGGGTAAGGACATTTTATTAATGAATGTCCTGCTAATAATACTCCCAGATTCTGCATGTAACAGATACTTGCTCCTTCAGTGGAGTCCACCAAGTGTTAAAATTAAAGAAGCCTTGGACCTCCAGTGCCTTTTCCTTGCTGATAAACAGACTTGACTTCTAGCTGAGTTCTCGTCTGTTAAAGATGTGTAGCCCGGCGCCCGTGACTCACGCCTGTAATCCTAGCTACTCAGGAGGCTGAAATCTGAGGATCGCAGGTCAAAGCCAGCCTGGGCAGGAAAGTCCGTGAGACTTATCTCCAATAAACCACTCGAAAACTGGAAGTGGCACTGTGGTTCAAGCGGTAGAGCGCTCGCCTTGAGCTGAAGAGCGCAGGGACAGCGCTCAGGCCCAGAGTTCAAGCCCTACGACCAACCAAAAAAAAAAAAAAAAGATTTGTAAGCAGGGGCTGGGAAGATGGCTCAGTGGTAGAGTGCTTGCCTTGCATGCCTGGGGCCCTGAGTTCGATTCCTCAGCACCACATAAGCAGAAAACCCGGAAGTGGCACTGTGGCTCAAGTGGTAGAGCGCTATCCTTGAGCTAAAGAACTGAGAGACAGCGTTCAGGCCCCATTACTGACCCTCCCCCCAAAAAAAATTGTAAGCAAAGTAATGCTGAAGTCCTTTTCTTTTTCTTTTTTTTTTTTTTTGGGTCCGGTCGTGGAGCCTGAACTCTGGGCCTGGGCACTGTCCCTCAGCTCTTCAGCTCAAGGCTAGCGCTCTACCACTTGAGCCACAGCGCCACTTCCGGCTTTTTTCTTTTTGCTTATGTGGTGCTGAGGAATCAAACCCAGGGCCTCATGCATGCAAGGCAAGCGCTCTGCCACTAAGCCACCTTCCCAGCCCCAAGTCCTTTTCTTTCTTAGTAATATATTTCCATTTCATAATGCCAATTAATTGTAAGAAGAAAGTTCTTTACATCCCAAATATTCTATCTTAGGAAAACAAGAAAGGAAAAACAAAAGTCTAGGCCTGCATGTTGTGTTTATTTTAGCCTTGACCAGCTAGATACATATGGAAGCAAGGCAGTAGACTGAATGGCTGGTCAGCCCTGAGGCCTATTCCCATCATTTTGCATCCTGGGGTTGTTTCTAAGTCCAAAATCTGACCTTCTTTGCAGCTAAGTATGAGTCCCCCGCCCACCCCCATCCTGTTTCTTTCCACGCTCTTCTTCAGCTTTGGAGCTCGGCACATCTCAGGCCTAGGGAATTTTAGCTGGAGAATTTTAACCTCTTCTTGCTCAGAGCTTGTGTGGAGCCCCTATCTGTGCAGATGGCCCCGCCCCCCGTCCCTCACTCCAGCCTCTTGAGCTCAGAGCCAGTGTAATCCTCCTCTTGTGTGAGGAAGCCTCTCCCCTGCAGAGAGGAGGAAAGCCTGCTTCAGAACAGCCCTGGACAAAGGGGCTGAGATGCCCTATCAAACCGTAGGCTCCAAGGTTTGAAACAGGGATGAATCCTAGATGGTATTTACAGTTTTTAACCCCTTTCCTAGCCTGGCGGTGCCCCTTAATTTCCATTCCTCCCCCAACTCTTCATTCCCTCTGTAGCTCTCTCTCTCCTTCATGCCCCTCCCCCTCTGTCTGTCTCCAGACTCTGTTGCGGGGAGGTGTTTCTCTCCCATGCATGAATGAGTCTCTGTAATGAATGGAAATGAATGGATCAGGAATCCAGGCAGAGGGAGGGAGAGTGAGGGGGAAGACAGGGTAAGGGTAGAAGCAAGGACCCAGGAACCTGTGAGAATGTTTGGCTGGGTGGTTGGTCAGCGGTGCGAGAGTACTGGTCCTAGTTGGTAACTGGGGAGCATGGTAGACCTTTCCGTTTGCTTATCAAGCTATATAGTCTTACTGTAATGAAAGAGGGGTACACGGTGATGGCTGCTCCTGTCACCAGGGGGTGAGGAGGAGGAGGTAATGGTGGTTCTGGATTAGGCTTTTAAAAAGTATAATTTGGGGGAAGAAAGCTGGGCTATCAGAAAACTTTTTGGTCTTGGCAAAACAAGGGGGTAAAGGCTTTGAGGACCCAAGCAGGGGGGTGAGCTGGCTCATGCCACTAGGAAAAAGGGGTACGTTTTAGGATTACAGGGTGCAGGGTTGGGTTGGGGGTGGCTTTCCATTGCTGAAAATCTTTCCTCTAATTCTTTTCTGCTTTAGTGCCTCAGCACCTGTTGCCTTCATTAGCAGCTTTCCCTCTTCTCTGCACCTCTCAGAACCAAAGAATGTGAAGGGGTCCATGGAGGTGAGTGATACTCTGTCCTGAACCTATAAGTACTTTCAGTGGTACTCACTCCTCTAGTATCCCTCAATTTTTGATGTCCAGTTACCAACAGTCTCTCCTTTGCTGGCCTTAGCATCCAATTCCCACCTATCTCCCAACTTCCAGAAATAAGTACTCCTCTCCTCCAGGCAGGCTAAAACCGACCCTCCCTCTTGTGAACTGCCTCTCCCCCCTATGCCCTCTATTCCTTCACAGGTCACTCTTCACCCTTTGCTCTGTATATGTGTATCTTTTCTCACAGGGCTCACGTCCCCGCATCTCTGGTGGCCACCTAGCGCCATCGCCACCGGCGTTCGACGGTGAGCTGGATCTTCAGCGCTACTCCAACGGGCCCAGTGTGAGCGCAGGGTCTCCTGGGATGGGAGCAGTGGGCTGGTCTGAGAGTCGTACAGGTGAACGACGCTTCCCCTGTCCTGTGTGTGGGAAGCGCTTCCGTTTCAATTCCATCCTGGCTTTGCACCTGCGAGCACACCCCGGAGCCCAGGCCTTCCAGTGCCCACATTGTGGCCATCGTGCTGCGCAGCAGGCTTTGCTGCGCTCCCATCTCCGAACGCACCAGCCAGAGCGCCCGGAGCGCGCCCGGAGCCCTGCTGCCCGCCTGTTGCTGGAATTGGAGGAGCGTGCACTGCTGCGTGAGGCCCGACTGGGCAGAGCCCGAAATTCCGGAAGCATGCAGGCCACCTCTGCCACTGAGGGCCTGGCACAGCCTCAACTTCCTTCGTCATCGTCTGCCTTTCGTTGCCCCTTTTGCAAAGGCAAGTTTCGAACCTCTGCAGAGCGCGAACGCCACCTGCATATCTTGCACAGGCCTTGGAAATGCAGCCTGTGCAGTTTTGGCTCGAGCCAGGAGGAGGAGCTGCTGAACCACAGCCTGACGGTCCACGGGCCGCCCCCTGATCGCCCCCTGGTGGCCACCTCTGCTGGGTCCCAGCCTCAGCCTTTGCCCCAGCCAGAACCCAGATCTGCCCCTGAACCAGAGCCCCGGCCCAGGCCTGAGCCTGAACATGAGGCAACTCCTGCCCCAGCTCCTGCAGCTCCAGAGGAGCCTCCAGCGCCCCCTGAGTTTCGCTGCCAAGTGTGTGGCCAGAGCTTTACACAGTCCTGGTTTCTCAAGGGCCATATGCGCAAGCACAAAGCCTCCTTTGATCATGCGTGTCCCGTATGTGGCCGCTGCTTCAAGGAGCCTTGGTTCCTTAAGAACCATATGAAGGTGCATGCCAGCAAGCTGGGTCCTCTACGTGCCCCAGGGCCTGGCTCTGGGCCTCCCCGGGCACCTCAGCCTCCAGACCTGGGTCTGTTGGCTTATGAGCCACTGGGCCCGGCACTACTTCTGGCCCCGGCGCCCACCCCAGCTGAGCGCCGGGAGCCCCCGAGCCTCTTGGGCTACCTAAGCGTCCGAGCTGGTGAAGCCCGACCCAATGGCGAGGGTGCTGAGCCCGGAGCTGGCCGCAGTTTCGGAAGCTTCCGCCCACTGCAGTCAGCTCTCCCTGCCCGCACTCACCGGAACCGGGCAGAGGAGCCCGAGGAGGAAGAGGAGGTGGTGGAGGCTGAAGAGGAGAACTGGGCCCGGGGCAGGTCGCTCGGCCCTCTGGCTTCACTGCATCCGCGCCCCGGTGAGGGGCAGGGGCACTCGGCACCTGCTGGGGGGTCCCAGGCAAGATCCACAGCCACGCAGGGTATGTCGCAATTCTGTTCTCTCAGGGTTTATGCATCTAGTCCTCTTCATATTTCTGCCACCACCCCCATAAACACAAACCAGTCTTCACCCTCCACTTGTCATTTTTCCCCACCCCTCAGAAGGTGGTAACCTTCTGAGGACACTAATTGCAGTTCACAACAAAGCCCATCTTTCAAGTTCCACCACAATTTCCTGTTTCCTCTTGGGCTCTGAGGGGAAGCAATCTAGTGGGTAGGTGTGGGGGATACTCAAAGCAAAGGGATCCCTCTAACTTCCCCTTTTCATGTGTTACAGAAGAAAACGGGCTGCTGGCTGGAAGTACTCGGCCTGAAGGGGGCCGGGGGGCTACTGGCAAAGATTGTCCTTTCTGTGGAAAGTCTTTCCGCTCAGCGCATCATCTCAAAGTGCACCTGAGGGTACACACAGGTGAGGGAGGCTGCCCTCCATGTGGGGAGGAATAGGGGGGAACTAGAAGACAGAATAAAGGGGAGAGCTACTGGAAACACTGGAGGAAGCCTTCAGATTGGCCAGAGATCACGTGGGAAATGCTCGTTTACAAAGTCAGCCAGCGAGGGAGGCAGTTTGTTTCTGGTCCTTAGCTTGAAGTTTGTAAATGGAGAAAAAGGGATTGAGGGGTGAGGTGTTCAATGATGGTGACCTCTAGAGCTTATCTGACCCACTCTCCCCAGGTGAGCGTCCCTACAAGTGTCCACACTGTGACTATGCGGGCACCCAGTCTGGCTCGCTCAAGTACCACCTGCAGCGTCACCACCGAGAGCAGAGGAGTGGTGCAGGTCCTGGACCACCCCCAGAGCCACCACCCTCTTCCCAGCGGGGTTCAGCTCAGCCATCGGGAGCCAAGTCGGCTCAGCCCCCTGCGACTTGGGTGGAAGGTGCCACGGGCCCTCGGCTTCCTTCAAGCAGCTCTGGGCCTGGGTCCCGTCGTAAGCCCACCAGCCCTGGGAGGACCCTGCGCAATGGGCGAGGTGGTGAGGCAGAACCCCTGGACCTCTCCCTAAGGGCGGGGCCAGGGGGCGAGGCTGGGCCGGGGGGCTCCCTCCACCGTTGCCTCTTCTGCCCCTTTGCCACTGGAGCCTCTGAGCTCATGGCCCTGCACCTACAAGTGCACCACAGCCGCAGGGCTCGAGGCCGTAGGCAGCCCCAAGCTGATGCTTCTCCGCCCTATACCCTAGCACCAACGGGAGAGACCCCACCCAGCCCTCCACTGGAAGGGGAGGATAGCCCAGGGCTGTCTAGACCGGGAGAGGCGGGGCTAGGGGCACAAGAACGGTAGGGTGCCCTCTTAGGGGCAATTAGCTTAGCGAGCTTACCCCGCCGGAGAGGGGAGCCTAGAGGTAGTTGGGTAGAACAGCCAGCAGGGGGCATTGTGGGACTTGTATCCCAACCCCAAGCAGACCAGAGGTGGAAGGGGCAGCAGGTGGAGGTGGGCAGGCAGTCCCCACCCAGCCCAGGGGAGTCACAGTGCCTTAGAAGTGGCAGAGGTGAGGGTCAAAGAATGGGGTCCCAGGGCTGGCAGAGGGTTCTATCCCTGTTGAGGAGCTGCTCTGCCAGTTTTTGCTGGTCTCTAGGAGTGAGAATTTATTTTTATACAAGGGGTGGGGGTGGGGGGCACTGTACCCTTCTAGCCCCATGAGGGGCCCTGTAGACGTTGATATTTTTGGTACGATTCCTGTCATCCCTGTTGCAGTCGTGTCCCCAAATAAACAGGTGTCTTGAGGCACAGGGCTCTGTGTCTGTCTGCCTATGTCCTGTTTCCCTTTTTGCTCTTCTGTGGAGAAAACTAAGTTACCTTCTCAGGCACTTAGAATTGTCACTGGAAGAGCCTGGTAAAGCAAGCTGTATGCCTAAAGTTCAAATTCCCAATCCCATCCCCCTTTCTCTCTCTCTCTCTCTCTCTCTCTCTCTCTCTCTCTCTCACACACACACACACACACACACACACACACACAGAATCTTGCTTTAACCTCCAGCCTTCTAATTAAGTACCTGGGTGGAGCCTATGAATTATCATTAAACAAGTACCATTGCAGGTTTATAAACTATTAGCCAAGGACCTCAGTGGAGAACTGCTGTACATTGCTAGACCCATTTTTTTTTTTTTTTTTGCTTTAAAAAGTAGACCCAGAAAGGGAGGAGGAACTTCAGAGTTCATGGAACCTCTGGGAGCCACTGAGGAGAAGGCACATTCTCCTAGGCTCACGCACAGTCAGCTTTAGGCCACTAAGAGACAGATGGCTGCCTTCCAGCCTTGGGTTTATTGTCTGTGTTCTAGTTAATAGTTGAAGGGAAGTGTTTAAGTTAGTAGGAACACTGTAATTCAGAGGACTGCTTTGGCTCCTGAGAGGCAGAGTATGAGTAAATACATTTAATATAACAATAGTACAATAAGAATAATTACATATATAAAGTCTGCAGTTCCTGGCCCACTCCTTCAATGGTTTGTATAAGCTCCCTTTCCCAAGACACCCCAGAATGGAGTCACCAGGAACTCCAAGGACAGCTCAAATCTTCTCTGGGAGAGTCGTGGGATAAGAAGAGAAACACAGCAGAGCTGTGTCCTGTGGGGTGCAGTGGCACAGGATGGGGAAGGACTGGAAGAGGGATAATTTCCCCACCTCCACAGGGTAAAGAAGGCTAGCAAGTGTGGTTGCTTTGTTGTTGAAGCAGAAGGCACCAAGCAGGGGAGAGCTAGAGATAGCAGTAGCAGGGGCATGCTGTGGTCCTCTGTCCAGGAAGCAGAGAGAATTCAGAGCTCTCCTAGTCCTCCATTATGTCTCACTGGCTTCCCAGCCTAAAATGTGCTGAGAAGGGGGAGCAACAGCCAAGTTCTGGATCTTCTCTAGAAGCCAAGAGAGAAAAGGAAGATAGGTTGGAAGAGGGAAGAAGCTGACTACTGAGTGAGTAGCTGAGATCAGGAAAGAAGGCATTTGCTGGGTAAGGTAGAAAGGGGACACTGACTCACCTGGGTCACAGAGGCGTGGTGGGGTCACTCAGGGCTCGGGCATGATTCTGAGGGCAGAGAAACTGAAGTGAATTTAGAGGCATATTTCCTATGTCTCCCAAGTACACTTCATCTTGAAGATTGCTTTTTACCTTTGACCCTGATGCCTTTTAGCCAGGGAGAAATGCCGAGCTGTAACTGGAAGCTTAAGACTACAGGTTCTCCTATCCTCCAAAGAGTCAAATTATCAGAAATGCCCACCCAGAGTGACCAAAGAGAGCATCCTATTCCCAGACTAATTGCAGAGACTTACCTGTCGAGATAGCCCTAAGATCCCTCCACTGGGCAGAATGGGAGTGCTGCTCCCAGGATGAGGGGGTTGTAAGCTGGGGCTGTTTCTTGGTCCTGGGGACACATCTCCAGAAGAGTCGAGTGTTTCTGGGGCTAGAGGGGAAACTTGGATGAGAACAGGGTATAAAGCCCCTCCAGATTACCTTAAGCAACCAAGCTGTTTCATCAGGGAAGAAAAGGCTCCATAGCAACAGGAAGCTGTAGTCACCATAGCAATCCAGTTTCAAGAGAACCCCCCCTACCAAGAGGCAGAAGCTTCATTAGAGCAACCAGGGAGGAAGCAACAGGAAACTATAAGGATTGCTGTGGTGAACCAGGAGGATACAACAGGAAGCTGAGGCAGTTTCCATAGAAACCCAAGGAGAGCTAGAGAGAGAGGTACAGAGGAAGTGCTTCTTAGCAAAAAGCTGCTGTAAGCATCACCCTAGCAACCAGATGGAAGGCTCTTTTAGCAATGGGGAAGCTGTACACAGTTGTCATAGCAACTGGGCTACTTGGCTAGATAAAGGACTTGCTTAGCAGTAGACAGCCTGAACATCACCATGATGACCCAGCTGCTGGGGGCCACCCCTTGAGAGGTGCCTCACCCAAGGAAATTTGCTTGACGTCCAGATCCCAGGCCTCCTCCTCGACGCGAGCAGGCAGGGAGCAGGCTCCCGGCGAGAAACCGGGAAGGGAGGGGCCGGCATGCTCAAAGGATGACACGGCCACTGAGGCCCGGGTGCGGGCGGCTGCAGAGAGTGGGGAGTGGGGGAGTGCTGGTGTGGGAAAGTCCTCCTGGCTTCTTATAACAACTGTCAGCACAGAGGGCCCCCCAGTCAGTCCCACAGGTTTTGGAAAGAGGCCCACTCATTACTCTTCCTGACTTTCCACCACACCACCCCATTGACTTGCACCAGTAGTTAAGGTCTGACTTCTGGGGGCTCCCTCACACAGTACCCTGGCCCTCACCTCTTCCAGTGAGCAAGGCACTCAGTGTCCGTTCCCCAAGAGCTTTGATGTCCAGGAAAGGTTTATTACCAATGCCCATGGAGACCATCTGCTGCACTCGGAGCTCTAGAGAATAGAGACCCTGTTAACCATCTCCTGCTGCTGCCCGGGCCTAGCTTCAGCTGTATCACAGTGTTGACTTTTTCTTTTCCAACTCTCATGATTCCTTTCTTCCTCTGTATCTTGACATGTAATATTACGATTATTTTGTGTGTGTGTGCCATTACTGGGGCTTGAACTCAGAGCCTCTCACTCTCACTTGGCTTTTTTTGCTCAAGGCTAGTGCTCTACCACTTGGAGCTACTTCTGGCTTTTTATTGGTTAATTGGAGATAAGAGTCTCAGGGACTTTTTGCCTGGGCTGGCTTTGAACTCCAATCCTAAGCCTCCTGAACAGCTAGGCATGAGCCACTAGTGCCCCATTTTTTTTTTTTTTTTTTCTGGCGCTGATACTAAGGCTTGAACTCAAGGCCTCTTGCTTGGCTTTTTCACTGAGGCTGATGCTTTACTACTTGAGCCACAGCTCCATTTCCAGCTTTTTAGTGGCTAACTAGAGATAAGAGTTTTAAGGACATTCTTACCTAGGCTGGCTGCTAAGCTTCCTGACTAGCTAGGATTACAGGTGTGAGCCACCAGCATCTGGGACATCTCCTAATTCTTCCTGTGTACTACCACAAAATGGATGATGATAGTCATCTTTGATTTCCTCCTCCAATTTGTCTCTTCTCTTCCATATATTGTGTCCTGCCCACATGCCTTTCCTTCTAATACTCACTTCCATTTATCTTGGGCATTAAGAACAAACCTCTCATTTTTACTATCTTTGTAGTTTGGAAAGCATCCTACAAAGCTTTCCTAAGCAATTCCCATATTCCACAAAATCTCCTGTTAGAACCCTGATTCCAAGCACAGCTTCTCTGCCTCTGTCCAATACCCTTGTTATGGGCTGCCTGTCTCCATAGCAGCTGGGCAATAGAACTTGTCCACTTGAGTTTGATCTCTGGTGAGGTTGCCTGCAGAGTGTATGCCTCTCGTGCACGCCGTCGCCGAAACCACAGCTCAAAACACAGTCCACTTTCCCCAATGTTTTCTGTCAGCCCCATGTCAGCAGTCTGAGGAAGAACAGAGGGGAATGGTGAAGGAAGGAGTCCTTGCCCTATGGGCAAGCTCTATGTATAGGCCGGCATCTGGCAGATGTTCCATAATTGCTGAACACCTGTGAGGTACTAAGTGCTCTACATGTAGTCTTCTTAAGAACATGATTTACAGAAAGAGGACATGAGGCTTAGAGATATGAATCAACTTGCCCAAGAGCTGATAGATTATTAGAGAGGAAAGATTCAAACCCATGTCTGGTATTCCAAACATAGGCTCTTTCCCCCTATATTACTTCCTGTTGAGCTGGAACTAGTGTAGAAGGACAGAGTTCAGAAACCTTAAGAGTAACTCCATACTACCTGACCATAGGACCTTAGGTTGCTAAGGTTGGTTAACTGGCTGCTTCCCTAAATCAAGGCCTGCCTTTTTTTTCTTGTTGGCACGAGGCTTTGGATTCAGGGCCTCATGATTGCTAAGCAGGCACTCTACTGCTTAGCCGCATATACAGTCCTTTTTGGCACTGGTTATTTTTGAGATAAGGTCTCACTTCCTTGCTGGGGATCCTTGGGCTGTGATCTTCCTATTTTAGATTTTCTGTTGTAGCTGGATTGGCAGGCCTGTGCCACAGGCTCATATTCTTCTACTGAGATGGACTTTCATAGATTTTCATGGTCTAGAGCTATGATCCTTCCAATCTCAGCCTTCCACATAGCTTGGATGATAGGCATGCATCACTACATTCAGCTATGGGTTGAGAAGGAGTCTTGTGACCTTTGCTGTGGTTGGCTTTGAACATCAGTCTTCTTGATCTCAGCCTCCCAAGAAGCTAGGATTATAGGGAGGGCCATCTGTGCCTGGCTAAAGCTTTTTTGTTGTTGTGTCAAGTTTGGGTATATAGTGTCCTTTTTCCTGTTACCCCAGGACTACCCCTAACTTAAAAGGCATGTGTGTTCTTTTTTTTTTTTTTTTTTGTAGGTAGTGGAGCTTGAACTCTAGGCTTGGGCGCGGTCCTTGGGCTCTACCACTTAAGCCACAGCACCACTTCCAGTTTTCTAGTGGTTTATTGGAGATAAGAGTCTCACGGACTTTCTTGCCCCGGCTGGCTTTGAACCGTGATCCTCAGATCTCAGCCTCCTGAGTAGCTAGGATTACAGGTGTGAGCCACTGGTGCCCAGCTGGCATGTGTGTTCTTAATGAGGAAGGCCCTCTTCCATTTGGCCTTGAAATGCCTCACAATATCTCCTGTATGAACTATAAGGAAATCTCCATGGAGTAAACTAGCTGCAAGGAGCTCTGTCATTCCCTGGCTGATATCAGGTCAAAGCCTATCTAGATGATGCATCTGA